CGAAAATAAATCGTAAAATTTTGGCCCTTTCCTTTCGAATATCAAAAAGATATTCCAGTGGGTGGTTCTTACTGTATTCTAGATTATTTCAGCAAAGTTCCAGCTCGAATGAAAGAGTTTTAATTTTGGAGCGATTTTCGTCCAAGTGGCCCTTTAAATAGTGCAAAACAGAAGAAAATGTACCGGAAAAACGCGCTGACAAAGGTTGGTAAAATTCTATATTCTTGTGACCTTCCGCTGATTGGATTCATATTACCCATATTGCATTTCGTACTTGATATGCAACATACAACAAGATCTTCACTAGTCTGCACGCAGCCGCTGTTAGTGTCGTCACGCAATACTTTGGGGAGTGAGCGTTGCGTGACGACACTAATAGGGATCTTAAGCTGCAGGACGGCAACGACGACGACGACGGCAACCATACAATAGCACTAATTGCGCTATTCAATAGATACTCGTTGGAATGTACGAAATACTGTGCATCATTGCCGTCTTATGCTGAAAGTAAGACGTGAAATGTCCTATTTTTACGTACTAAAGAGAACGGCTACGCCAAAAGCTTATCTTTGCTGCTTTTCGTTATAAGTAAAGCGTTCCCAAAAGATGTCATTTCACTCTAAAACAGTAAAATACTAGGTAAACACGAAATAATAATACAATAGAAGGTTGAAGCGCCTCAATTTCGCCGACGTTGTCGCCCACGTTACCGTYCTGCAGCTTAAGGTCCCTATTAGCGGCTGCGTAGGACACTAGTCCTTAACCAACCTTTTTTGAAATAGCTGTGTATGAATTACCTGTGCAAACAAAAATAAAAACAAAGCAAAAATGTGGTTTCATCTTACTTCTTGTTTGGCAAACAGTTTGTGAATGACTCGACCAGCAGGGCCACGACCCGCTCCGATCACAGTCACTTCCGGTTTTTCCATCAACGATGCTAGAAATTCGTCCAGGTTTTTTTCACCTCCCACCATCTGGACCTTTTTCTTCTGTGACTCAACAGCATCTCGGAATTTGTAGCGAAGAGATTTTGCACGGGAAATAACTAGTTCTGCTAGCTGGATTTCTTTTACGAGTTCCTGGAAACCAAAGTAAAATACTTAAATAATAATAATAATAAATATTTCTTATATAGCGCCTCTTCCATAAATGTCCAGTGGCGCTTTACAATAAATTCAAAACTAAATTATCCTAAAAAATACTAGACCTAAAAAAGAAAAATTAAATCAAGAGCTAAAGTACCTTAAAATTACTTA